GTGTAGTTCCTATTGCTGACTGAAAGGTCTTTGCTTCAAAAAAGTTGAAGGGGAATTTTTAAAGTATTATGTAACAGATAGTCTTGGACAGAAGTAGCATGACATAAAGTCAACACTAATTATAATCAGGTCTTTGTGATCTTTCACCCTGTCACCTGACCCCTCTACCACCTTCTCAAATAGCCGTGAAGGGAAGTGTTTAATGGTGTCTCAGAGAAGAACACGATACAGGACGGGTAGTTGGTGTGTTCGGGATATACTCCCATAGTAGTAAATTGTCTGAATTGCCAATGCCAAAGGATAAGAAAAACTTCATACTATACGTAATGCAATAGCATTATGGGCAAGAAAACAAAATTCACCTTAGGGAGGGAGAAGAGATTTAATACATCTGGAGGAAAATAATTAGAAGCCCAGATAATCAATTGCAGAGCACTGCCAGGAAGCGTAATGTTGCAAGAGGCCAGGGGTGATTACAAATGAGTCTCAGTGTTATGAGGCAACAAGAAAAGCCAGAGTAACTTGAAGCCCAGGGCACCAGGGGTGCCGCGTGGTGACGCACAAGGTCCTGGTCTCTCTTGGAATGAATGTGATGGGTGAGGGCACATCTGGAATCCTGAGTACATATTTTACACTCCATTAGCTCAAAGACAGCGAAAACCTGGAGGGAGTTCTGAAGCCGGTAACAGGGACTATAAAGAGACTTGATGGGATAGTTTATAAGGGGAGGATTAAGGGAGTGGCTATAGCCGTGGCAATGGGTAGAAAGCAGCGGTAACTAACCCAACAAGGACAACCATGAGGGAAGGGCAGGAATGACCTGTCATGGCTGCCCCCAGTGGAAAAAACAACAGAGAACAAAATGAATGAAGCCAGAAAAAAAATCTACAAACTAATGAAGCAGGAAAATGTAAGCCAAATGGGAATCTGTTGCCACAAAATAAGTCTGATTGGGCAGGAAAAAGATGTAGAAATATTTTCAAGTGCACAAGTGCAGAACTCAGACAAGATTTCCTCATAGCACAGGGTGGTAAAGGACTTTGAGTCAGGACTCAGGGTTGGAAGGACCATAGTAATGGAGCTGCTAATAAGAATATGAGCAGAGGTGGCATTTAATATGCCCTTGTTAGGTGCCAGGCACTGTTTGAAGCACTTTACATATGTTTTAATTCACTGGATTCTCACGACAACCCTACCGCTGTTCTTACTATGATCCTCATGGTCTTAGAGATGGGAGAACTGGAGGTGAAGAGAGGCCAAGTGACTTGCCTGTGGACAGACAGCTGGTGAATAGCATGGCCAGGATTTAAACCCAGGCAGGCCAGCTCCGGGGTTTATACTCCAAACCCCTGTACTCTTCTACGTCTTTTAAGATGAAAGGAGAGAAAAGGGGGAGGCGCAGGGGGCAGGGAACCCTGGAGATGAGGAGCAGGCCAGAGGACAGAGACGGGCTTGAGCTTATTGAGTGAAAAGTTCCTGGAAATAGTCCCCTCTGAGGTCATGTTGGTGGGGTGTGGCCCTCGTCTGCTCCTTCTGACTGGAAGTCATTATTGCCTTTCGTCAGAAAGGAAAATCATCTCGTGGTTCTCTGTGAAAAGGTGGTTGGTCTCTGCAGACGAGAAACCTTCATAAGAATTCCTACTGCACGTAGTCAGCTCGGAGGGAAATCCTGAGTCCTATCTGACCTGAGATCCTGTATGCTTTGTCCCACACCCCTGGATCGGCTCCAGGGCTTGGCTGGGTAACCAGGCAGTGGGCATTAAGCCAACTGACTGCTTGATGGATATACTCATTTGCAGACTCAACATGTAAGCATTCATTCAACAAATAAACACTGCTATGTTTCTCGATTTGAGTTAGCTCTTCAAAGAAAATTAATCAAAAATGGCAGCTTCAGCCACTTTTGATTTCAGTGAAAACATCAGTCTAGAACTTGTGGAATCCCCAGAACACACAGAGGCCCATGAACTCCAGTTCCAGTTTCCAGAGAAGCGAAAGCTATGAAGCCCCCTATGCTATGTGCAAGGATGAGGAGCAGGAAGAGTACAGAGATGAGGCAAAGACAGTGTTCGCCCTCAAAGCCCTACAGGCTAAGGGGGATTACCTTACATACGAGCATGACTGTAGCACAAGGAGGGAAGGGAAGATGGCCTTCGAGCCACAGAGACAAATCGCTGTGGGGACTGGGCAAAGACTGGGATTAGAATGTTACCTGGTCTAGCCCTGATACATGGCGGGGAGATGAGGGAACTAGCACCGGCAAAGGCAGAGAGGTGAAAACCAGAGCAAACAGAGAAAATGCCTCAGAGAGAGGGACAGATAACCAAGAATGTGGGCTGGGGTTGGAAATGGAAAGAAAGGGATTTTGTCCTTGCATGGCATGCTATCAAATGAAACTTGATTCTATCAAGTGAAATTTGAGGGGGGGGGGGGTCCATCCACGATTGCGACAATGGGTGATGTCCCCAGAGTCAGTCTTCAGGAAGGTGGTATTAAGAGTAGAAAGGTCCGGAAGGCTGGCTAGGGGAGCTGGCAGGAGACTGAGAGTATTCATGAGGGGTGTCGAGTCATTGGAGAAAGAGGGGCAGGTTCAAGAGCTATTATCCACATGGAACCTTCAGGTGGTGGCTTCCGCGTAGCAAGGGGACCAAAGGAGCAGGTGAACCGGGAAAGGCCCTGGGGTGCCGTGTCTGGTTAACCAGGAAGACGATTATGACTCTCAGAGAAGAAAAGGGTATCTGAGGAGAGAAGTAAACTGGGAAGGGAAAAGAATTCATTCCATTCTGGACGATTCTATGAAGAGTAAGGAAAACATTCAGCTGCGGGTATCCTACAGGTAGCTGTGCATCAGGATGAAAGCAAGCTAGCTAGCCCATCAAGACACAGATATGACGTGCCGTGGGCGAGACTGAGATTCAGAAAGGCGTGCTTGAAAAGCGATACCAGTAAACTGCCTGATTCAGGGATCTGTTTTCATCTTCCCAGGCTCATCATCCAGGAACTACCTTACTTCATGTGTGTAAGTGGAGGCGCCTGAAGCCTGTTTAGTGAAGATGCACAGTGGCTTTGACACGGAAGGCATCTGGCTAGCCAGAGTTTCTCCCTAAAATGAAAGATGGCGGCCTTGATTAAAAATCAGAAAAATTAAAGCTTGCCTGCATGTGTGTATTACATACACACATATGCACAGGTCTAAGCGTGTGTGTACACAACACACACACACACCCCTCTATATCTATATATAAAAATTTCTCTACTCCTTCTTACTTAAGGGGAATGCTATGTTTATGGCTACTACAGTGACCAAACATGTAGGTTACCCAGAACAGGGCTTGTTTATGCCTGCCTTCCTGGTGGAATTACAACTATTCGGAATAGTACCCTCCTTGTCTTATGGACTGATTGGGTCCTGAAGTTTTGAGGGCTGGTTGGTTCTTAAAGAACCTTTTCAGAACAGCGTATGGGCTATAACAGTCTCTGCTTTCCCCACAAATGGAAATGTGTGTGTGTTTACACCAAACCTTAAAAAACTGGTCACAGCTGCTTGGAAGTAGGCTTTATCTCAGGATCATGCATGTAAACATGAGAATACTTTAACAACAGATCCCAGTTTGGTTTTTCTGTAATTGCCGAGTTCGAGCTACGCTGCTGCGGTATTAGAGTAATTTTTGAATGTCATCTTGAAATAGAAATGTGGATTTTAAGTACTAAGGCAAGGGTAAAGGAGAAACACTTCTTAAACATATGCAGTGTATTTTCTCTGTAAGAATCCTAAATGTTGACACATTACCTATAATCGAAGTGGCTAATGACTTTTCAGCAAGGTGATTTGGTCAGACCTTACCCACAAACTTGGGTATACTCCAGAATGCTTTCCTACACTTGTGAAGCTCTCTTGTCTAACCTGAATTTACGTTCTGTGGTGATAACACAGTGTGATTAGATTCAAGTGAACATATTAAAAAAAAAAGAAAGAAAGAAAGAAAGAAAAGAAAGGAAAAAAGTAATGATACCCTCTTTCATTTTTGGCTCCCCTTCTGATAGTTATAAGGCATTTGACTTCAAGATCTAACACATTTTGTTCCCGAAACCCCAACCTGCCCTACTTATTCTCTCTTTGCCCCTCTCCTTTCATCATCTGTGGCAGAGGACCACATCCAAATCCAAAGTTTCCCTCTGACAGGATCGTAAGTTCTGTTGCCCAGTGGCCTTCCTTGGGGGTGACATGCCAAAGTTAGAAATGTGAAGTCGCCTAGGGACCTCGTCAATGAACAGTAGCGTCAGTGTCCCACATACTTCTGTGCGACTATGATTCTATGAAAGTTAGTCATCTGTGCAGTAATTCTGCGTCAGCAGAATCCTTCATTATCAAGAATAGACATACACGTTCATAAAAGACACATAATGTGAACACCAATGCCATAAAATGTGTATGGCATAGAAACCCTCGCCTAAGAAATGGAGTTTACCGTGGTTCCTTGACTTGGAAAATTTGTACTCTGGATATGCAAACCCAAAGACAAGCTTTTCTATACTGTTTTCATAATTTTTAACTCACAAATAGTAAGTTAGAAAACTTATTTTCTCACCAAGACTGAATTTTCAGTCCCCCAGTATTTGCCCAGAGACAGCACTCCACATTGCCACTGGCTACTTCTCTGACTGTTACATCAACTTAACAAAAGGATACATTCTGCTTTCATCCCAGCAGACCTACAAGAAATGGATGCACCCTGAGTACCATGATCATTATGGTGATTTTATTGCACTATAATCTGTGTATGTGGGTGCTATGCTTTTTTATTCAAAAGGGAAATGTACGTCTGTCACTTTGCCAAAGAATCAGAGTATTACACTATTATTTCGGCGTTCACTGTTAGCAAGGTTTACTTTGGTTTACTCCCCTTTTTCAAATCCTAATTTCATACTTATGCATTTATGCATTTATTTGTGATTAATCATTTCATATGAGAAAATAATCCTTTTTTCCCCCTTTGCAGCCTTTTTTGGAAAATACCTCAATGAATATAATGGCAGCTACATCCCTCCTGGGTGGCGAGAATGGCTTGGATTAATCAAGAATTCTCGTTTCTATAATTACACTGTTTGTCGCAATGGCATCAAAGAAAAGCATGGATTTGATTATGCAAAGGTAATTTTCAGGCACTTTTACACTGCATCAATTTACTTTGTGCATAATGGGGAAAAGCCATTTTCAGTGAGTTAACTTATCCGCGAGATTGGCTTTCTATGTTCTCACAATGTTAGAATGAGAAATTTTAAGGTAATTTTAAACTCCAGGCAAGAAAAAGACTTTCAAGGAACACTGACTTTGAATAGTGATTCTTTTTTCCCTCATTAGGATGAAAGGCAATCAGCCTTTGATGAAGTATCATCAAGAAAATCATAGACGCCTCCATTCGGTCTCGTGATATTGTTTTATTTTTCTGCTCCCTAGAGGATTTGTCCACATAATCCAGTGTTCTTCTTGTACCATTTTGCTTTTCACTGGCGTGAAAGTGCATTTCATCTGTGGCTTCAGGTTTAGAGCAGACAAGCACAATAATTGAAGGTCAGGAAACCACATTCTTTGCTTTTCCTCCTGTCTGACCAAGCATTGATATGTGACAAGGACATCTGCCCCATGGCAGCGAAAGTCCACAGCATTCTCTGGGGCCATCAACCCTCAGATTTCCAAATCTGTTCACAGAAACTGAAATCGACACATCCCTCTGTGTCTCTGACAAATGCATCCCAGATTAGACTTTTTAAAATTCACAAAGGTTTTGTGATTGCCAACCAAAAATAAAACAATTTTCAAACGACAAGAGTGAAGGGGAAAATATCTTCGAATTTAGCCCACTAATTAGCCTAAAATATCCTCTTCTCTTCTAGCCATGCCCAGCTCTTCCCTCTTGTCTAAAAGAAGCCGGCAATCTGCTCTATCTAGCGTAGATCACTACGAAAGAGCCATTGGTGGAAATCGGAGAGAAGGAGCTTGATTTAATTTTGGCATGGTGCTGGCTTTATGCTTGGCCTGATTTGAGCTGGAGGAACTTAGTAGGAGATAAGGTATAAGTCTAGCTCTTCCGTCCCCTTCAGAAAACAATGAATGCAAATGAATTCACAAACATTGCTAATAAGATTCCAGACTCATCAAAGTGGAGAGCTGGCGGGGACCTTGGAGGCAGATTTGAGCAATGTCCTACAAAGTGCGCTAATTGTCACTGCCATCATTTTTTATCTGTAGGGATGCTTTCATGCTCCTTGTTCAAGCTATTAACCTTTCTTTCCCTGTTGTCCTAAGGAGAGCAAAGTAATCAAGATTCCCTCCAAAGACTAAAATTAGCGTAACTTGCCCATTATCACAGCTGATTAAGTGTCAAAGACAACTGTGTCCGAAAAGAATATATGGCTTTTTTTTTTAGTGAGAAAAAGGAATGAAACAGACACTCCCATGGAAGAAGGTGATGGCCCGTGGAGTTGTCCTCACAATGACATGTGACACAGATTTCCTCCCTTGGGCATGGCTTTGGCAGCTGTGCTGGTCCTTGAATCTACATGTGATTAGTCATGCCTGGGAGCCTCTGACACTGTGAATGCTGTCTGGGCACTTTCTGAATAAACTTTGCAGTGGAGCTCCAGGCCAGCAGTACCCACTTAGAGGAAGCAGGTGGTTTAAGTTTTCATCGTTCCTTTTCATTCCATTTCTTCCTTCCCCTTTACAGAGTTGCATCAGTCCCTCGGATGGCAGCTCAAGTCATTTTATTAGCCGGTCAGGCTCAAATCCCAGCAGCTGTATCATTTTAGTTGTGCAATTAACAGTATAGTCTGCAGGAAATCAAATGCTCCCCATATTTACTGTTTCAAGTGAATTAATTGATAAAATACTGCAGCTTTTCCCTGTGCACCCAGATTTGAGCTCTGGCTTTCATTTAGCAATTACTGTATAATTCCCACAGGTGAATTTTGAATTTAAAGAAAAGACCTTTCCTTTTGTTTGTGCATGTGCGCGCGCGCGCGCGTGTGTGTGGGTGGGCGTGTTCTGCAACTGTGAATTTGTAGTGGGCGTGGGTGTTTCCTGCCCTTGAAGTAATTAAATTTTTTGTCAAAGAATTACATCAATGAAATCTGAGAATGAAATATGTATCCGGTGTTTCATGGGCTCTAGTGTTTGGATTGCCAGATCTGATCATTATCTTGGGCAAACAGGACTGACTGGACTCTTTTTCTTTCCTAATTGCTAAGTCGTGCCCTTACTTAAAATAAAATTTTTGCGTGTTACCAAGCTAGTCACCCTAGAAAGTAACTGGCAACTGATTTCGTCCGTTTGGGAAGATGTTTTGCCGCTTTGGGAAGTTATCACCTTCCTTCCTGCTTCAGGCCTCATGCCTTCATTGAGTGAGACGCTTCTGAAGAAAGCAGTATGCAAATGCCGTCTGATGAATGTCACCTTTTGTAATTTTTGTTTTGTGTCAAATGTATGTTTCAGGACTACTTCACAGACTTAATCACTAACGAGAGCATTAATTACTTCAAAATGTCTAAGAGAATGTATCCCCATAGGCCCATTATGATGGTGATCAGCCACGCTGCGCCCCATGGCCCTGAGGACTCGGCCCCACAGTTTTCAAAACTGTACCCCAATGCTTCCCAACACATGTGAGTAATAACATCAGTTCTGGGACCTGCTGAACACGGGCCTTTTCTTTGCTCCCACCCCCCACCTCCCATCTCTCCCTCACTCCATTTCCTTCCTTGCCCTGTCTCCCGAGGCAGGAACATCAACCAGTTCCTGCCAAGAGACCACGGGGCAGGCTGGCCACAGGGCCCGGCATAAGGACCAGGTCTCATGGCATGATTAGGAGTCACAGTATGTCCAATCTTTGTTAAGTAGCTAAATGGAAAGGAAGAGAAGCACTTACGGTGAATGGGGGAAATTTGTATCATGCGTTCCCTTCGGTTGTCTTAAATAATATCCCTGAACATGATCTCATAAAAATAACCATCCAAGGGTATGCTCCTTGTAGCGGCAGAGTGGCGCCCCCTGGTCTCTGGTGGTAGAAACACGGGTCTGTCTTCCAGGAGAATACGGGGGTCGGCTTTGCTGCAGATGTGCAATTAGGACTCCTGCAGAAAGCAGCTTGCGCCGGCTTGCCCGAGAGGCCTTCTCAGGTCATGGCTTTAAAATAACCTGATGTTTCCTTTTGAGAGGCAGGAGCTCTGGTAAGGAGGGGAGGGGAGGCCCAGAAGAGGGGTTGGGGTGCGGAGGGAGCGCGGCAGAGAGCCCTGTTAGGCTGGTAACTCCCCCTAGCCAAGAATGAAAAAGTCCGGAATGCTTTGGCAGCAAAGAACATGATTTTGTTTTTTACTCCCTTGACCCACTTCCTTCCCGTCCTCTGCAATAACGTGCAGCCTTCCCGACAGAGCACTTGGCTCTGTGTCTACGGAAGGATCCACCATCAGGAAAGTAGGGACCGGGGAACTGGTATGTTTCCTTCAACACTAAACCTCCAAAATTGGTTCTTGCTCTGTTTATGCTGAAGTAGCATCTCTTCTCACCCATACTGATTTCCCAGCCGCAGTCCTAGACAGAAAGAAAATTGAGTAAATGTATTTTTGGAAAGAGAGACATACCGAAGGCACTGTTATTGCTGGTCATTATATATCCCTGAAGAATCTTCCCTTATATGCTTATTTTTTTTATCTTATAACTAGTAAACTCATGGCTTTGGGCCAGTAGTATTCAGGTCGTCTCTGCCATATCAAGTGATTTAGAAAGAAGGAAGGAGGTCAGAGCTGACTGAGGACAGGAACTAACAGTAAATATAAAACCAGGACAGACCCCCTGCTGAACATGCCCAGTCAGGATGGAAGGATGTAAGGATGGAAGCATCTCAACATGAACTATTGTCAACAAAGAAAGCAGGTTCCCCCAGCGCCTGGGGAATGTGGTCTGGGTGAGCTGCTGTGTTTCGGAAAGAACGCTGTGGATGGATATACAAACCTCTAGAAGGTCTACCTACATATAACCATGCAACAAAATTCATGAGCAAAGCCCACAAATGGCAAGGGGCTCTCCATTCCAGATCACTTACAGATGGGCAACCTGCTGGTTCAGTGAAAGAGAAAGGTCTTTGTAGTTTTCTTCCCAGCCCTGGGACCCACCTTTCTCTTTCCTTTTTGAATCAGAAAATCACTGTGTCGGTTTTCTTGTTACACTAGCAGATGCCTAGCCTAAGGAGGCTTGCTACAACTGTAACCCTTACCGGTGTTTTCGTGAGGTTGAGGAGAGGGCATTGACAAAATGTGGTGTTTTATGGCTCCTTAGAAGTCAGCCTGCTTTGAAACTTCTGCCCAAGGTCTTGAGCCTACAGAAAAATCAGCCGCAGGTCAAGAGGTTCTGAGAGCCAATGGCATGCACAGACAATTGTAGGAGGAGAGGAATCTGCAGACTTCCCTGGGCCTTCATCATCACTGAACCACAGCATCTCCGAGCCCAGCAATTACAAATTCTATTTGATTCCACAAATATTTATGAGTGGTGCTCTCCAGTACAGCTGGGATATAGGCACAAGGAAGACACAGTTGCTCACAACCAGAAACCAGGGAGCAAAGACAGGCATGGGCCCCCTGGGGCCAAATCCAGCTTGCCGCCAGCTTTTGTTAATAAAACTTTATTGACATACAGCCACATTCATTCGTTTTTGTGTTATCTGTGGCTGCTTTCACAATTCAACTGCAGAGTAGTTGTAGCAAATACATTATGGCCTTCAATGCCCCCAGTATTTGCTCTCTGACCCTTTACAGGATGAGTTTGCCCCAGCCCCTACTCTGGGGGGAGGATGGGCAAGTGTCCAAACAGCCATAGCACCAGTCAGAACAGAAGGCGTAGGTACTAGGACAGGCCTTCAAGGGGCTATGGAAGTTTGGAGGAAGAGGCATTCTCAACACGGAAAAGTCATGGACCAGCAGACATTCAGAGCAGGTCTCAAAGAATGGGTACGATTTCTGCAGCTGATCCTACAGACTGGCTAGTTGATTTCAGTTAGAAAATGCAGCGTGGACAAGTGGCCGCCACGTTATGTGAGACGATCTAAGATGTGACCTAGGAAAATGGAGCACAAAGAAAGCAAGAAGGGATAAAGCCAGAAAGGGAAACTAGCAGAATTTTGAGGACCTGAATGAATTTGTATGTGACCGTAAGCAGAGTCACCGGAGATGACGTCATTTGGTGGGGTAGTGACAGAATAAGTGACTCGGTCATTTTCTCATGAAAATTGTTTCAGTTATTTCTTTTGAGTTCACGTGAACTACCTGTGTGGCTTACTAGTGACTATAAAAAAAATCTTCACTTGACAGAGTGAAAGTATTTAGGCCTTTGAGACAAACAAACATGGGTTCCTTTTTCATGTCTTCCCACTACTAAGCCTGTGGGCATTCTTTTTTTAATCTCTAGGAAACTCCATCATCTCATCTGTTAAATGGGGATAATACTAGCACTTTGACATAATATCATGAACAAAAACTGAGACAGGAAGCACAGGTCAAGTCCCCCCATAGGGCCTGGGACACAGAAGCCACTTCATGGACGCTGATCCTTATTGATCCTTTCCATTGAGATGAACCACATAAAGCTGCTCTTTCTTGAGGCCATCTTTCCTGGCCCACAAAAAGTGAGATTTCATTTGGTTCAACTTCACGTTCAGGGGAAGCAGCTGAAGAAATGACAAGTTGATAGGTGTCCACTGTGATGTGACAAAGCTCTTGACAAGCTAAGACTCACACTGGGACGAGCCTCTCGCACCCGGCCGCTCTAAACACCCAGGCAGGATAAGCACCCATCTGGGCTGTGTTATCTTTTCCGGCTGCGAAATGGTGCTGCGAGCAAGTGCCAGTGAGGAGAACACCCTCAGCCCTAGAAAATGAAAATCCATGCAGTTGGCTAGGCGACTCAGCCTCTGTTTGCTGCTAAGCCTCGGGCTTTGGTGCCCCCGGCATGGAGAGAGCCGCTGCGGCTCCCTCGGGCCTTCAAAGGCCTGGGTTAGCAGAGTCTTTGTTGCCCAGGCCTCCCTGGCTGCCGCTCGCTGGAAGAGGGGGCCGGCGAGAGTCCGTGTGCGGCTCTTGTCACCGTGAGTGACTGCACAGGTCCACAGTTCAGTCTGTAGACAAAAGGAGTGAGACAGATGAAGACAAGCAGCTAATTGTGGAGCATGGAGCCCCTGAATGGTGGGTTTCCTTAGCAAAAACGTTTGCCACACACTCGAGCATACTTTGCAGACATGTTTGGCAAGCCCTCTGCAAACAGGAGAAGCTGTAGACACTCCCCCGTTGGGAGAAGCAACTAATGTGAACGCGTTCCCTGCGGTGGCCTTCCCTGGTGGTCACGCGGTATCCAGGTGCCTTTCATGTGGCCTCAGGCAGTCGTCATCTGGCCCTCTCCAACCGGAGTGAATGCATCGTGTTTCCACGGTACTTTCCACTCCCAACAAAGGAAGGAAGCCGGGCCAACACTGGCTCGCTGGCTTTACACTTCAAGGCTGAAGGTTTTGCCAACCAACTAAGAACTAGGACAGATATGGACCCCTCGTGACAGGAGGCACTGTTTAATCAGAAGCGGTTCAGCTGTTCTAGGCCTCGGTGATACCTGAGGGAGTCTCCGTCATAACATCACACATGATAATCCTTATCCTAAAGCTCTTCCCTGTGGCGAAGACCCTACTGTCCTTTTCAGTAAATTACCTCCCAGGATCCTCCTAGGACTGCTACACCCTCACTCTTTCTGTGACACAGCTTTTCTCTCCTGGCCGCCATGACATGATAATGTGCAGCAGTGACAGGAAAGGAGACTCCATTTACCTACCCTATGATTCTGGGGGAAGCTAAGAGACTCCCTCAGAACTTTCCTACCAACCATCCCCCTATCAACTGAAATTTTTTTATTATTCCATTTCACCAGTTCTTTCCCCTGTCCCTGGAAATGTGTCTGATTGTGTGTATGAACACACAAACACCGGTTCAAGTGAAATCTAAACTCTTGGTAGAACGATCCAGCTCCTCTAACTTGCAAGAATTGGTCTAAAAGCTCAGTTTGGGGGATGACAAAGTGTGCTAAAGGGACAACAACCTCTGTGTAAGCCTCAGAACAAAGTTTTTAAAACACCTCTGTTGTCCGAAATGGGAAAGAAGTGTTTTCCCTTAGAGGAATTTGCACATCCTCACTTCATTGCTTCCACAGATCCATAAAAGAAAATGCTTTTGAAGACGAGAGAATTTTAAATTTTCCGTAAGAATCTTTAGTCTGGGCAGAACTCATCACTCCCTCCCTGTGTTCCCACTTTGTTCTTCTCTTTGTCATTGACTGCATATCCCATGGCACTGGCTGTTTACCCAGACCCTTGAAGTCAAACTGCACACCTCCAGGGGGCAGCATTCACACAAGATACAGTTTGAATGAGGCCCTGGAGTTAGGCAAGATAGCTCTTTCCAGAAGGCAGGGCCAAGTGTTACCTCTCTGCTTCCGGTGTCTGGGGAACATGGCTCCTTCCCCATCCCTTGCCAGATATTTTTTTGTTTAGCAAATGAATAAATGTGTTAATCCCAGGTGACATTAAAACATATTTTGATAGCATAAAAATATTTAAGCAGTCAGTTTTATGAAT